AACAGAGATGCATGTGAGGAATCACGCCCATACGTCGTGGTTCCGTAATCAAACTACACAGTTTACCTTTTTCCTACGTGGTGAAACACATTCGCACATTCACTTTTGACAAGTGTTTGTTGAAGAGGAATATTGTTGAAGAAGTGTTGAGAAATGCTAAAACCACGCGTGTCAGGGTAAAAGTGCACGTGTGGAATGACTTCTACAAAGTTTTTCGTATTGTAAAATTACTTACTAACATTTCAACCATATGATTTGTAAAAATATTTATTCATTTGATTTCTTCCATGATTTACAGTGAGTATTTATATCCCACAAGACACGGTCTGACTCGTTATGTTCTGTAATATGACTTGATTTAGTGTTGTTTTGGTCCCACTCCAATTTCCCATATGACACGGCCTTTCACAGTTTTCACTCCCCATTCCATCACTAACCATAAATCGTTGGTAGTCTCTTAAATATTTTCAACTTCTTGATAATTGTCACTCTCATGCACTTCTAACAAGAAGAAAGAAAATGGATGAAGTCTCTCGTTCTCTTCATCTTCATAATTTCCACCATCATGATCAATCCTCCAATCACCAAATCATCGACGGACTAAAACGCGACCGAGAAGAAGACCAAGACCAAGACGCGACTCCTTCAGGAGAAGGAGAGAAGAGCAATAAGAGAAGGCCACGTGGCAGACCAGCTGGTTCCAAGAACAAACCAAAAGCACCGATCATTATCACACGCGACTCCGCAAACGCTTTCAGATGCCACGTCATGGAGATAGCAAACGGCTGCGATGTAATGGAAAGCCTTTCCGTCTTCGCTACACGGCGTAAGCGTGGCGTTTGCGTCTTGACCGGAAACGGCGCCGTTACAAACGTCACCGTTAGACAACCCGTTGGTGGTGGTGGTGGTTCTAGCATCGTTAAGTTACACGGAAGGTTTGAGATTCTTTCTCTCTCGGGCTCGTTTCTTCCTCCACCGGCTCCACCAGCTGCGTCTAGTTTAACGGTTTACTTAGCCGGTGGTGAAGGTCAAGTGATCGGAGGTAACGTTGTGGGACCGCTTATGACTTCAGGTCCGGTGGTGATTATGGCAGCTTCGTTTGGTAACGCAGCTTACGAGAGGTTGCCATTAGAAGAGGAAGAGGAGGAAATTGAAAGAGAAATAGATGAAAACGCGGCTAGGGCGGGTGAAACGCAAACGCAGAAGGAGTTAATGGAAGATGTGACGCCGTTTCTACAAGGGTTGCCTTCGAATTTAATGAACACTGTTTCATTACCAGGTGATGCTTATTGGGGAACGCAACGACCGTCTTTCTAGATTATCCTTGCGATATTATAAATTTTATCCAACTTTTTTTTTTGTTCTTTTTAGTTTTTATAAAGATTTTAGTAGGGTTTTGGTTTCGATGTTGTTGACTAAATGCTTGAAGCTTTTGGTAGTTCTTCGTTCGGGCAATGATGTGGTCTCGGATTGATATGTATAGCGTTAGTATTTGGCTTGTGCATGTGAATTTTCCCTTGACTACATGTTTATTGTGAATTAGTTAATGTATAGTTTGATTTTGAATGTTATTTTCAGGTGTTTTTACGATAAATAATGAGGTTGCATGATATTATAACAAGATTAATAAGTCAGTACATGAGAAGACCGACTACTCAATTAACCAATTGGTGGCGAATTTGGTTTTGGCTAATTAATGATATGAACTAATGTTGTTGAATAACTATCTGATTAGGCAACCCTTTAAATGTATGGGACTGCATGTCAAGTGTCAATACTTTTTTGTTTTGTTTTAAGAAATCAAGTGTCCACACTTACTAACTAACACTTTGAAATTTGAATGGCATTAATTTGGTACCTATTATCCTTTTTTCAATTTTTTTGATATACAATATGATGTATTTATTCTTGTGTGTGTTTGAATGTAAAGAAAAACAAAATGAGTGTTGCAAAGCTGGTGATAAAATGGCGAGGCATATCATGACAATAGCAACACTTGGGAACAAGGTGATTGCATTGGCAGTCACTTTTCTTACAAACATTTTTTCTTTTAGAGATAAGCGAAAAAACATATTCAAATTACAATGTGTTTATTACAAAACGACAATTTCGAATTTTGAACGACAATTTACAATGTGTATTCAAATTTTGAACGTATAAACTGAAATGATCTGAAATTCTCTCGACACGAGTGGGCCGAATCTCAACTCTATTAAGCCCAATTTAGATTAAAACAGAATTCTAACGGAGTTACTAACACTGTTAACGTCATAACTAACGGACTTAATAGTCCACGTGGCAAATAGACATGAACAGAAGAAAAGTAAAACCCTAAAGTAAGTACCTTTGCAC